TTCTTTCTTTCTTTCTTTCTTTCTTTCTTTCTTTCTTTCTTTCTTTCTTTCTTTCTTTCTTTCTTTCTTTCTTTCTTTCTTTCTTTCTTTCTTTTTTTGGTTTTTGGAGACAGGGTTTCTCTGTGTAGCTTTGGAGCCTGCCCTGGAACTCACTTTGTAGACCAGGCTGGTCTCGAACTCACAGAGATTCTCCTGGCTCTGCCTCCCTAGTGCTGGGATTAAAGGTGTGTGCTACCACTGTCCGACTAATGTTGCTGCTCCTAACATGAATGTATGTGGGTGGTGGGATGGGGGGGCTCGAGGCATGCCTTCTCACTTCTCACTTTCTTGGGGCTGTCTGTGCAGCCTATCATTGTGCACTTATGATAACCTTGGTTTCTGAACCCCAGCGCAGAGCCCATGGTATGCAAGAAGGTCAGCTGCAGAAAGGGAGGGAAACACATACTGTGTGAGTGTGGCCTCTCCTGTTCCTTATCATGGCTTCTTTAACCACAGGGAGACAGGTATAATTACCCCATTGTGCAGAACAGAGCAGGGAGCTGGAGCTTGGCTGTGCCTATGATTTGATCTCAGGCTCAGATACCACTCCACACCTGGGGCTTCCTTTTTTATGCACCAGCTAGAGCCTGGGGCTTTAAATGCTTCTGAAACTCTAGGTTACTTGATAGTTTCATTCCATTCATTTATTTGGAAAAATACTTGTTTGAGGGCCTATGTATAGAAAAGCTATTAAGACCTAAGATCCAGGGCAACCGAGACCTATTTGTGTCCTCTGAGAGAGAACATGAAGTCTGAGGTTAAATCATCGGAAATGTGCTTACGTTTCTGCCTCATCTATTGTGTAGTGAATCATTGAGGACAGGTCAGGTGGAATGCTCTGAACTGCAAGCTACAGAGCTCCCAATTCATTTGGGGTAACTGGTAGAAGCAGGTAAGTGATTGACATATGCGGAAGTAGGGTGGGTTTCGGGTACTGTGATCCAGTCCCTGACTTTCTGATCTCTAGGCTCTGCACTTCGGTCTCCTGGCTTTGCTTGTTCTCAGGTTCCCATCCTTCACAATAGCTTAAAGGAGAGAGCTACCATCTCTTTGTAGAGTCCTTGAACAAAATTTCTACTCGTCCCTCTGGTTGGATCCTCTCGGGACCTGCATCCATGTCTCAGACCAGTATGGTGGCAGAGGAGAGGATAGCTAGCATTGTCTTAGGCCATTCAGGACCCACCTTACGAATTGAAGTCAAGTCTGCATGGCTCCTGGTGGGGGATGAATGGAAGAGATGCTACTACTGAGAGGCAATGACAGTCTCCAAGTGGTCTCCATGCAAGGATGGAAACACCAAGATGTGTCAGGACAGTGGTCACTCTTCTCATAACAAATTCATGTTGGAATAAATGGACATTGATAGGTTTTTGAATGCTCAACATTTTACCTCTCGCTCTCTCTCTCTTTCTCTCTCTCTCTTTCTTTCTCTCTCTCTTTCTTTCTCTCTCTCTCTCTTTCTCTCTCTCTCTTTCTTTTTCTCTCTCTCTCTCTCTCTTTCTCTCTCTTTCTCTCTCTCTCTTTCCTTCCTCCCTCCCTCCCTCCCTCCCTCCCTCCCTTCCTTCCTTTCTTTTTTGGGTTTTTGAGACAGGGTTTCTCTGTGTAGCTTTGTGTCTTTCCTGGAACTCAGTCTGTAGCCCAGGCTAGCCTCAAACTCAGGAAGATCCACTGGCCTCTGCCTCCCGAGTGCTGGGATTAAAGGCGTGCGCCACCACTGCCCGGCTCCATTTTACACATTTTCATAGTGACTTCTCATCATATTTCTATAAAATTATTACCATTTTGTAGATGAGAAAACCAGTGTAGGAAAGGTTAGGTTGCTGCTGGCAGTCAGGCCCTAGGAAGCCAGCCAGATGTGTCTGGGCTTGTGGATCCCACTCTATTTCCCTTTTGGGATGGTTTGTAGAGAAAATAGATTCTTAATAGAGGCCCTAAAAAGGGGTTTCTAATGATTCTTCACAATAAGCAGGGCCTTGGGAGTAGTTACTGCTTTTCATTTGCAGCTTTTATTAGGAGAATCCTGCCTGCCTTCTTCCGTTAGGCAACTGTAGATGGGAGGAAGTCTCTTTTCCCCAGGCTCAGGGAAGTAACAGATAATTGAATAAGCCCCCAAGAAAGGCAGATCCATTGTTGACTCACAATGCTTCAGAAGACATGGTCGCTTCAGATACTTTTACAAAAATGAGTTTTCTCTTCTTTTAACTTTTCTGCCAGAGGCTGCCATTTGTTTTTTTTTTTTTTTAAAGCAATAGAGTAACCATTATGTAATCTATACAATGCCTCCTTCCCTTGGGCCCAAGTTAACTGTGCCTTCAACAATGCAGAATGTCTCTTCATGTTGGCAAAGAGTTTACACGGAGCTAGTGGGAGTCCTAAATTAAACTGCCAAAGCAAAGGCAAACAAACCGGGTTTTCTGGTTTTCTCCAGACACTGCAGAGACAACATCCCACAGGGCAGGGAGATGATGTGCTGGAATCATTTTGTGCCGGTGTCGGATGGAATGCTGTGCCGCCCTGTGCATGGCATGCATGCTCTGAACATAGCGCCCAAGTGAAAGGGCACCTGCTTGTTTTTAGGCACCCTCCTCACCTCTCTTCTCTCCTGGTAAACACATTTATCCCGAGAGAAGTGAAATACAGTTGGGGAGATCCAAATGGCAGCTGGTGTCTAGTTGACACAGGAGGCTTTGCCAAGTGTCCCAGTTAGCTTTCTGTTGCTGTGATAAACACCATGGCCAAAAGCAACCTGGGGAGGGAAGGGTTTCTTTCGCTTACAGGATGCAGTCTCTCCATCATCAGGGAAGTCAAGGCAGGAACTGCAGTAGAGACCATGGAAGAAGCTTGCTTACCATCTCCCTTTCCCTGGCTTGCCCAGGTACTGCTCTTATTCGGCCCAGGCCCGCCTGCCCAGGGATGGGATAGCTCTTAATGGACTGGGCCTTCCTACATTGACTAGCAATTAAGGGAATGCCTCCTAGACAGGCCCATAGGCCGGTGGTTCTCAACCTTCCTAATGCTGTGACCCTTTAATACAGTTCCTCATGTTGTGGTGACCCCAACCATAAAATTATTTCCGCTGCTACTTCATAGCTGTAATTGTGCTACTGTTATGAATCGTAATCTAAGTATCTGATATGCAGGATATCTGATATGTGACCTCTGTGAAAGGGTCACTTGACCCCCGCAAAGGGCTCGTGACCCACAGGTTGAAAACTGCTTCTATAGGCTAGTCTGAATGAGGCAATTTCTCAGCTGAGATTCCTTCTTCTCAGGCATGTCTAAGTTTGTGCTAAGTTGTCAAAAACTCCAACAGTAACTTAGGTGCCGTCCTTTTTTTGTGAGTTCCTAGTCTGTTTGCCCACTTTCCCCAGCTCATTACTGAATGGTATGTAACCTGTCCAGATGTCCCTTAAGTTCTCTGCTTACCGTTCTGGGTCACGGACGAAGAGACGTTCAAAGCTCAGTTTCTATTCCTAATAAATAACCATTGGTGGACATCGCCTCCCCGATTTACTTTCATCCATTCCCATCCGTCTAATTTGGGGATTCTGATTACTCTGGACAGTGGTTCAGCTGGGCCTAGAAAAGGTGTGAAGTCAAATTGGATGTGGAAGAAATGCCTGTGGGCACAAGGCTTAGGGTTAAATGTCAGAGAAAGTCATTTTATCTCTAAACAAAAGGTTGTTGAGGCTTGCTGTGATCCGGGAGGATGACATTGATAGCTGTTATTAGGTGTGAAATTGAGAGCCCCTCAGGACAGCAGAACCCGGCTTTACTCTGATACATCAGTAGTTATAACCACTGCTCCTAGAGAATGGGATTGATGGCTCCTGGGAGGGGCCATCTTGCATTATGTGTGTACATGCTAATATACATATGTATGTGCATGTAAGTCTTGCTGCCGCTCTGACCATGGTTTCCAAATTTGTCTGCAGAGAAGAATCTCCTACACAGCTTTTAAAATTCGATGCTGTAGATAACATGATAGCAGATTTAATTTACAAACTCTGGGAATGAAATGGACATAAGCATTAGTGTGTGTGTGTGTGTGTGTGTGTGTGTGTGTGTGTGTGTGTGTGTACATGTGTTCGTGTGTACGTACCTGTGGAGAGCAACCGTGGGTGATATTCCTTTCTGGATGCTATCCTTTTTGATTTTTTGGGACAGAGTCTCTCACCTGGCTCGGAACTAGCTAGGCTGGCAGGTTGAGTCGCAGGGATCCCCCTATCTCTGTCTCTCTGTTGCTGAGATTTCAAGCACACACACCACACCAGACTTCTTTTCTAATGTTGGTGCTGAGGATCGAACTCGAGTCCTCAAGCTCGTATGGCAAGCACTTTATTGACTGAGCCGTCTCCTCCGCCACAGTCAGTAGTTTTTAAGCTCTTCAGGTGATTCAAGTGGCAGACAGGCTCTGCAGCAGTATTGTGCGACAACTATAACCTGATGATGGTCTGGAGAGGAATGGAAATGTGGTAGCGACAAATGGTCATGGGCCATTGGCATTTACTGGCTGGCATCTCTATGCCAGGTCATCTACTGAATTTTTACAAATGTTCCCATGGGTCTTCCCTGTGCTCTCTGTGGGAGGCTGGAGAAGGACAGGAGCGGCTGTAGCTTCAAACTGGTATCTGTAGAATGGACTGACCCAGACTGACAGGTAAAGGCCAGAAAGAGGACACAGCTGGGCTTATCTTGCTTGTCCCTGAGAGACCACTGTGGTTATCCTTAGTATGTGATTGAGGTTTCTGTTGCTGTTGTTGTTACCACAGCATAACCTGTCCACATCCTGGTGGATACAGCCATCCTTTTAATAAACCACAGTGGATTCGGGAGTCAATATTCAAAGCCATATTTTGCAAAGTTGTACATTGAGGGTGAGTTTATTTTGACTTGTGGCTTAGAAGGAGGAAAAGAATGCAGTAAAGTAGGCTATTAATCTTGGGTTGGTTGATTCTGGCCTGCAAACCGCTGTATGTGTCTCAAGAAACTAGATTAAGTAAATTAATAACGCCGTCTTGTGTGTTTGCAGGACTCTTCTCAGTGCCTGGTGCTCTGTAAACCTTATTCCATTGCTCGTGTGTTTGATACCTTCCCAGAGGGATGGGAGGCATAAATAGGGCTGTGGATTACCATGAAGTAAGAAAGGGGAGCCACGCATACCGAACGTGTGTAGCGATTTCTGGCTGGAGCCTTGATGTAAGAGTCCTACTGGGAGGTGGGAGAACGGGGAGGGAAGGTGCTCTTGGGAGGGTGGAAGGACTGGACAAAGGCCCAGCAACAGAGAAGACGCTAACAGGCGCTCAGCAGTCAGCCTAGAATCCCATCAAGAGTGGCTCCGCTCCCCACTATCATGGGCGTTAGGATATTACATGTGCTGGCGGGGTGTTCCGGTGGGAGGTTCTGGTGGGTGGGTCAAGGTGCTCCACGGTGGGTGAGAGACAGAGATGCCATGCAGATGGCACTCAGGGAAGAGTTTTATTTGGTGGAGGGGGCAGAGAAAGAAGGGAAGGGAGAGATAGAGAGGGAGGGGGGCGAGGGGTTCAAGAGGTACGCACCTCGTGGGAAAAAAGGGGGGAGAAGAGAGAAATGGGCGCAGTTTTTCCTTAAAGAGACTTTTACATCAGGATACAGGGTGGCGCCAAGGGGTGGGATCAGAATATTAACAATGGGAGACTGGAAATGTGCATCATTGGGCATTTCTACTTGTGTTTCTCATCATGCGAGCGCGCGCACGCTTCTCCTAACTTTTTAAAAAATTTCATTGTTGGAAGGCATTTGGGTGGTGAAAGGCTAGATAAGAATAACTTCATTGATCCCCCTCCTCCATTTGCCCTGAAAACCATACCAGATACCATACCAAAGTTTGCACGTTGCTAGTTAGGAGCTATTATTATTATTATTTTATTAAAGAAACAGGACTCTTGTTCATGCCTCAGGGAGTCAGAATGACCTTTGAAGATGAACTCAGTGTAGTGTAGACTTAAATCTCTGTGAACTTCATGGCCTAGATCCCAGTCTGGTGGGGTGGACGGCTTGGATTGCACTCCTCATATCCAGCTGTGGACAGGTAGTTCCTTGACACCTTGGGCGCTCAGGTTTTTTTTTTTTTTTTTTTTTGGTTTGTTTTGTTTTCCTTTTTCTTTTTTTAAATGTAAAATAGTAGACTAAAGATGACTTTCAAAGTCCTTTCCGTCTAAAATTCGTCATTTCATTGGAAACTCAGCATGCTGCCGTGGTTCGTTTTGTCAACTTGCTACATTCTGGAGTCCCTGGTGAAGGATTGTCTAGATTGTTTAGAACCCATTGGTTTGTGGACGTGTATGTAGGTGATTATCTTGGCTTCATTAGTTGAGGAGGGAAGACCCACCCACTGTGAGTGGGCCCATGCCCTAGGCAGGGGATCCTCCACTGTGCTAGAGTGGAGGGAGCAAGCTGAGCACCCTCATGCGCTCATGCGTTACTTCATTGCTCTGGTTTGGACTGTGGATGTCATGTGACCATCTCAAGTGCCTGCTGCCTCGACTTCCTGGCTTGATAGACGGTAACCTGGAACTCTAGGCTAAAATAAACCCCTTTACCTCTAAGTTGGTTTTGTCACACATTTTTTTTTTTTTTTCTGCAGCATCCGGAAAGGAAACAAAGACACAGGCACACATAAAACAAGTGACCTGTTACACGACAATGCTAAGTATAGAAATGGATACAAAAGCTCTTTTCTCTAAATTCATAGGTTGTGGCAAGCCTCCAGCTTAGGCGAGGTACCATTTTCCTCCTTTGCCTCCTTAAAGATTACGGCTGAGGAAGGGATGCAATCTCTTGATGTCTCCGTTCTAACATGAAATCTGTACCAGGGTTTTAGAGAGGATGCTAGTTAAGTCAGTTGAGCTTCTTGTGACATAGACCATATTGAGCCCCACCCACCCCCACCCAACCCCGCAAGACGTTTGCAATAACTTTCTTTCTCTAACCTCAAAAAGTAACCGTGGGGAGCTAAGTTCAGTCACATATTTCGCTCTTGTATGACTTATCCTGTTGTTCTGTTTAAAAGTCATGAGTTTCAAATACTAGTGTCTGTAGCTGGGGACTTAATCATTTAGGCTACTTGTGAGTGCTGCTCACCTCACTCCTCTGTGCTGCTCAAATAGCTCTGACTTGCAGGCCTGCATTGACATTAGCCCCAGGACTGGGGTGAGTCACCACTGATGGCCGTGTATGCCCCTGGCCAGCCGGCTGCAGCTGTGTCCCAGGTACCTGCTTTCTGTCAGGGATTATGCCAGCCTCAGTGCTGGCTCAGGAGTACAGGGTTAGCAAAACGGCTTGGCCTTTGCCTGGGGGTTCAGGAAACCACACCATCACAGTGGCAAAATGCTGTCAACAAGAACCACAGGCTGCTTGAGAGCACTCACAACAGGGGGCTGACCTGGTTTGCTCCAAGTGGTGAGTTGCTGGACATGGCAAAGAGCCCAGGCAGGCAGGTGGGGGCTGGAGGTCTAAAGGCAGCATGTGGTCCCAAGTGCAAGGAGAGACCAGAGGAAGCATCAAGATTCAGCTTATGAGCAGCATGAGGGTTCCTGTGATTTGAGGAATCTCAGGACAAGGACTTCCTGCGACATCTCCTTGCCCTTCCTCCCCTGACATCTTGATGCTGAAGGAACAATTCCTACTTTTTAAGTTTACAGGATATATCATCTTTATCAGTGGTTCTTAACCTTCTTAATGCTGCGACCCTTTAATACAGGTCCTCGTGTTGTGGTGAACCCCAACCATAAAATATCTGATATTCGACTTCTGTGAAGAGGTTGTTTAATTCTCCCAAAGGGGTCTCGACCCACAGGTTGAGTGAGAACCACCGATCTGTATCATCTGTCAGTTGCAAGGCTTTGTTCTGGAGTAAGATAGTGTGTGTGCCTTTCATCCCTGGAAGGGAAGGCTTAGTTCATGTAACTCTGGGTGTCACCCTAGCAGTGTGTGACACAGGCTGGAATGTGTCGGCTACATGTCTAATCGGATATCTGGGGCACGTCAGTGAGCTTCCGTCTGGGGGACTCAAATCAGTTTCATCTATGACAGTAGTTCACAAAGCATGTAGGGACTCAGAACATAGCATGGGACCAAGTGCCCGCCCACGCATAGATTCACTGAACCTTCTGTGGATCGAGGCAATTAGTGTGTGTGTGTGTGTGGGGGGGAGTTGTGTGCACCTGGGAATAATTTAATAGATATTAGCTTGTAATTAAAACTTGCAGGTAAATTGCCTTTTCTTCGTTGGTGTCATATTACCTACTTTTCTTTCTTCCCCTGCGATCGCGTTTCCGTTAATAGATTACCAGCCACCTCTTTGCTCTGGCTCTCTTCAACGCCTTATGCCTCCTTCCAGCTCTTTTCTGTATCCCGTGGCCACATCCACATCTGTCCTGCCTCAAGCCTTCCCATTTTAGTCGTCATCTCTTTGAACAACAGATCTTTCAAGACATTAAAGGGTTCATCTCTACTCCCACCCTTTTTTCAATGAATTTTAACATCCCTAATCCTTTTGCCATTTCCCCACAGGGATATCTATTTTATATATAAATAGCACCTGGTTAGATAGATGATTTTGTATTTTAATCTTTCAACTTAATAGTCACAATTTTTGTTTGTTTTTGTTTTGAGACAGAATCTTGTGTCGTTCATTTGGCTGTGAACTCAGTATATACTAGCCAGGGATGACCTTGAACTTCTGATCCTCCTGTCTCTGCCTCCTGAGTGTTAGGATTAGACAAGCTTATACCACCATGCCCAGTTTATTTGGGGTTGGGGATGGAAACCAAGGCTTCATGCATGTTAGGCAAGCATTTTAGCCGAGGAGTTACTTTCCCAGCTCCTAATAATCATAAAACTTGAAGAAACATTTTGAAAGATTAAAAAAATATTTTATGTGTGTGAATGTTTTGACTGCATGTATGTATGTGTACCACATACGTGCCATAGAGATCAGAAGAAAGTGTTGGATCCTGTCCTAGAGTTTCTGTTGCTGTGAAGAGACATCATGACATGGCAACTCTTAAGGGAAACATTTAATTGGGGCTGGCTTACAGTTTCAGAAGTTTAGTCCATTATCAGCATGGCAGGATATGGTGCCATGCAGGCAGGCAGGCATGGTGCTGGAGAAGGAACTGAGAGTTTTACATCTTGATCCACAGGTAGCAACAGGACAGACTGCCACATTGGGCATGGCTTGAGCATGTATGAA